GGTGATCTTAAGGTCCTTTCCAACCCTAACTGTTCTATGATTCTATGATTCTATGATTCTATGGACTGACAGTGGGTATATGGATGTCAAAAAAGCATGAGGCTGAAGTGATGAATGCTGGTCATGATCAGAACACAGAGGGGAGTTTTATCAGCCAGTCTGACATCCTCACTATCTATTCCCAGGTCTTACTGCTTCTCCAGAACAGGAAACTGTTTAGAAAGATGAGCCTTAGGCTGAGATAGAAGAAGAGAGTCAAAAAGTCCTCTACAGGGTTAAAGTTTTGTGTGGAACTGAGAGGGGCCCTAGTGACACTCATCCTCTGAAACAAGTCCACCTGAATCCAAATAAACAGTTTTGTTCAGACTTAACGGTGCTATAAAATCAGTGATTTCAACATCAGCGCTTCATAGTAATGATCGTTTTCTGCCTGACTGATGAGTAGGTTTTGTTTTTGTGGTTTATCTAGGCTGACTGTTCTTTGGAAGTGATGTGATGAGGCAAGTGAATAACACTTAAATTAAAGTTACTAGAATGAAATAAATCTCAGGAGTATGATTCAGACATTCACAACTCATTCGAGAACTTTTCCTGATGTCTGGCTCACTACAGAAGAACATTAGGACTTCTTTAAGCCTCCAGTCTTTGGAGTGGTTACTCATGTGCCTAGAACTAAGCACATGCTTGTTCCCATTAACTAAAGTCCACGCTCAAGATGAACTCTGTGCTTAAGTGTTGACTGGGCCCGTGGTCTTGCTGTGTAGTGCCTCTGTAGTGGTTTGGCAAAGTCTGTTGTAAGCATGTGATCACACCCTTGGAAAGCATGGCTTTGTGTCAGTTAATGACCCTCAGCCAGACCAGTGGCGTTCTGATACTGTATTAATTCATGGTGGTCACAATGATGTTTTCCTTTTGGCATGCCATTCAATGTGTGCACTTTGCCTCAGTGATACTGCTTCATGTTTAGGTTTTCAGACGTTGGGCCTGATGTCTTTCTGTACTGCTGAATGGGTGCCATCTTTTTTCAAAGCGACAAAGATTGTATTTTTTATTTTAACTATCAGCTTGTCTTTTTTCTCTGTGATATCTCACAGCTGCTTTTTAGATGCTGCCTGCCTTTTCTAAAAACAGTTTAATAAAAAAAATTCAGTATCTGTCTGTTATCTCCCCCTGCTATGCTGTTCTTAAAAAAAAAAAAAAAAAAAAAGGTCTTCACAACCTCTGAATGATACAAAACCTTTGAACAATTGCCTGTTGACTGACAAAGCAAAGTTAAAATAACTGAAGTTAAAATAACTTTGGAGTTCTAACCCTCTTTGGCAGTAGAAGAATGTATGTTCTGTCTCCATTTGTTGGCATGCTCTTGTCCAGTATGGATAAAAAAAATAAATTGAACATCTCTTATATTTTCTTAATTGTTAGCCGCTTGGAAAATTATGGGTCAGGTAAATTGATAACCCTGTAAGTATTATACAGTCCATGGTTCTTCTGTTACCTTTCATTAAACTGCTTCACATGCATGGTGACTCAGGCTGGCTGGTTCCACTGCTGCATTTTTCCATTGTCAAAAGTACAGAGGTTTTGGTCTCATCAGGGCTGCATGGCTTTACTTTGTTCTGCTAAACTGTTTGGATCTCCATGCTCCAAGACTGAATAACGCAAACTTCATTCATGGAAAATCAAACACTTTGTGTGCAGTTAGGGCGTCACTTGCCAGCTCATCAACATTCACTAATTTACCTCTTGCTTTTCACAGCTCCTCATGTTAGATACACCGATTAGACACTTAGTGTATGTGTATATGTTACTATTTTCTATATGGCACTATGTTCTGTGAATGTGTCAAAGCACATAATCTAAGAATCAATACATGCTCAATACAAGTGAAGAGCAGAATTGTTTGCTCGCAGTTTGAGTGCTGTTTTTCAGGGACTTTGATTCATGAGCTAAAATGGCTAACAAGGTTGCTGCTCCTGTCATACCCACAGGCCTGGGAAAGCTGACACTCTCGTGAAATAGCTGCATCTTAAGAGAACAGTGATTTAAGGGAAACCATCCCAGATTTTGTTTTGTCGAGAGAATGTTGTGCTGTAGCTTTGTGCTGTAAATAGCTTGTGAATCAGAAGCCTTGATTGGGGGCTGATTGCTGCTTTCTGCCATTAAAATGTATTTATGATACAAGGGAAGGTGAGTTGGGTATAAATGCTCCATTAGTATTTGTTTTGTTTTCTAAGTCATAGTTGCAGCCTTTAAAAATTGGCTTCTTCCTAGGTAAATAGTGCAGGTTAAATCAAAAAGATTTTTACTTCGACTAGTAGAAAGCTTTTGTGTTATTTGTCTGTAATCTCAAACTTGGATTTGGACTGAACTGTGGATTTTGCAAAGACAGAAGTGACAGTCAACTAGAACACATAAATAATTTCAGCTCAGATTTGAGGACTCCTGACCAAGGTGTAGTGACATGTTGGCTATATTGTGACAGAACCTTCTTATATGTGTTTGACTATAGAAGTCCTCTAATGTTTGAACTAAGATCATTCTGTAGGTTTGCTGTCTATAGTTAGGTTTTGAGTCTGCTTAACTTGCAAGCTTCAAAAGGCATTGGGATGTTTTGCCTCTAATGCTTGGAGTAACAGAAGAAACATATTTTCTTTTTCGTTCTCACGGTGAGTTTTGGAACTGACAAACAAACAGCAGTGCTTTTTGAAGCTGCGTATGATAAGCAAACAAAGGTAAGTTTCCTTTGCGAATAGGAACAAAGAGTTACTTGAAGCAGCTTTCAAGTTGCTAAAACTAATAATCTTGGTGTTTATAGGAGTAGTATTGCTATATGGAACAAAAAGTGGAATGCTGGTTGGTTTTAATCAAATGTAGATGGTTTATTTTTCTCAAAACATGTACTTCTGATGCAAAACATAGATATTTTGAGGGTAAAACTGAAAACTCCCATCTATTACACCAAAACCTCTTGGGAAGCAGATACTTATATTTGTATTAATTGGTAGAGACAGAGGATATTAGATTAAATTTGCCAGTTCATATGGGAATCATCTTGAAATTAGATGCTTCTAATAAAACAGGGCATCAAAGATATTACTCATAAAGTCATCTACTTTTTGTGAACTCTTCATTACTCTTCATGGGCTTTATGAATGTTGGGAGTTGATTGGTGTATTTAGCATTTTGCCCTAAAACCCCACTGCACTTGCTTGTATCTGAAGTTATGACAAGGAAAGAGAATTAGTATGTAAAACATAAAGCTAGAAAAAGTTGAAAGTTAAAGCTGGTGTTGTTTGTGAGGGTTGACTACAAAGTGGCACCTGTGTGGTTACTGATCTCTTCCTTGTGTGGAAAGCTCTAAAAGGAAGCTGACCTATTTGTAAAGATATACATTAGTTGCAGATGTTCAAGAAACTGCACCAGTAGACTTGCTTCAGGTCAGACTTATTTTAAGCTAACACTTGTTTGCAGTCTGTACCTCTGGGTGAAGTGTCTGGCAGGCATTGTCACTTGAATGCGCTATGACATATTACGTGACCCGTACTGCATGCCTTTGTTTATACTGTCGTGCTGCCACAAAACCAGACATTTCTTTCTTTTTTTCCCCCTTCTCTTCTCTAATATAGATTGGGGGGTGCTGCAGTCTTAATGTCTTTTCTATACGTGACAACAGATTATCTCGAATTCCTTCTGAAATTTCACAAGCCACTGAACTTCATGTCCTGGATGTTGCAGGAAATAGGTAAGAGATTTTTGTATTGTCATGCTCCTTTGCTGGATTTACTTAATTCTTTCTGGCCACAAAATAGATTACATCTAAGAATGATGCAATAAAAGAACAGTTATGACTTTTGTGTTGGTGTTACTGTCGAAATTGTCTTCAACAATCATATTGTTGAAGTAGTCTTCCCCCTTGGCCCAAAGTAGCGTAGTGTGTAGTCATGAGGACATTTGCTGGATTGCTTTGGCCCTGAGGAAAAAATAGGATGAAAAAAAAAAACCAGCTTTGGATTTGTGTATTTCTGAATTAAAACTGAGAATGTAGGTGATCTGGTAGAGTTTCAGGTGAAACTACCAGCCTTAATGTTAAGTAACACTAATATTAAGTGTCTTATCTTAGAGATACAGTGCAAGTAACAGATAATGCCACTTTAACCTTGTGGCTTCTCATGAATCTTAGTTGATATGCTTCACACATCAAAATGCAAAAAAGTAGTGGATTGAAGCATAAATCAGCAAATTAGTTCATTGCTTAGTAGGAAGTTAACTGGGGGCGGGGGGGAAAGGCGAATGGTATCTCATCTATGCAATGTAATTGTCTCATAGGCACTTACATATTTCTGTTCTGGCAATTGTTTATAGTCAAGGCTCTACAGAATAAGCAGCTGTCTGCCTTCCAGGGCATTTTACTGCAGTAGTAAAACCTCAGCATTGTTTTATCTGTTATTCACAGCTACAAAGAATTATGATATAAAGTTAAGTTGCAGATTCTTTTTGAAAGAATGGAGTAGTAGGAGTTGATGACTACTGCGATGTCTTCTGTTAGAGTCATTAATCTTAATCCTCTTTATTCCAACTCCAGGGATATATATATACACACTTAAATGTCAATTTTGCGACCATCCATTAAACCTCCTAGAGATTTCTCTGACTCTTTTCCTTCTCTTTTTTTGAACTAGGCTGACGTATCTTCCCATCTCTCTGACTACCTTAAAGCTGAAGGCTTTGTGGTTGTCTGATAACCAGTCCCAACCTTTGCTGACGTTTCAGACTGACACAGACCCTGAAACAGGAGAAAAGATTTTAACATGTGTATTACTTCCTCAAATGCCTTCTGAGCCTGGTTGCCAAGGTGAGTGCCTAGAGTCAGTTTTTCATTACATATAGAAGTACTACTTCTTTGTTTACTGAGTTGTCTGTTCCAAAAAGGTTTGTAAAATATGCATAAGCTCAGATGAGCAAAGTAACAAAGCTCTGGTTGAATTTTCACTTTCAAACTTTTTTTTTAATTATTAGTAGTTTTCAGAAGGCTGTGAATGTTACTGAAAATACAGTAACACCAGCTACCATAAATAAAATACAGGCCTGGAAGAACACTTAATCATATTATTCTGAGGCTTGCCAGTGGGCCAGGTAGTGGTGTCCATGTTTATGTACATTGATTATACCTCTTAAATGCATAGTTATGTAGTGAAATTGGTGGCTTTCCATCTACAATCCCTTTAGTACAAAAATAATTGCATAGCTAGTAATAATCATAGTGTCATAGGATGATTTGGGTTGAAAGGGACTTTAAAGATTATCTAGTTCGAAACCCCCTGCCATAGGCAGGGACACCTTCCATTAGACCAGGTTGCTGAAAGCCCTGTCCAACCTGGACTTGAACACTTGAACACAATAAGTAGTAGACATTTTACTTTTTACAAAGCTAATTTTCTTTCAAGCAAAGATTCTTTACAGTAACTTTGTTATAGTCTTCAACAAGTGTAGAATTGCAGTGTAAGTTGCTTTTACCTTTTGTGCCGAAACCTGCATCTCTGCCAGATGGAACCATAAACTCTTTTTCACTGTTGGCTGGGTTGCTGCTTCAATAACTTCTGGATGTTTTTTGTCCTCAAGGTTTTATAGCTATGTGTGAACATTCAGGGGGATTCATCTGAGCTAATATTTAAACTTTGACTGTAACCACTGGAGAGTAATTTGTCCCATCCAAGAATAGACTTAAAAGAAATCATGTGGATTCTTCTGCGCTGAGTACAAGGGGGCCTGAGGAGAAAACCTCAGCTGTAGGTATCTGTATTATAGGTACCCAAACGTACCTAGATTAGTTCTACTCTTTCAGTACTATGCAGCTGGAGCAAATAGAAACCATTAAAGCAGTAGAATTGTAGAAGTGGCTGGTTCGTGCCTGCTTCTGAATTTTAAGAATACAAATTACGTTCAAAACCAAATTAACTCCTTTAGATTTCGAGAAGATTAAACTAGTTCAAGAAGAGTAACTGAGGTAGACTAACTTTCTCTAAAAGCCCCACTACTAGAAATTAGATTTTGTGCTCTCCAGATGAATCTCATGGCTTCAAGGGTAGAAGGCTCAGAATTAAGATTGTAGAATGTGTATGCCTCGCAATTCTAAAAGGATGAGATCACTAAAAGCAATGAACCACTTGAAGAGCTGGTAATGTGGCAGCCATGATGCAGAAAAAAAGCATGTATAGTGGCAAGTATATGAAATTATATAATCAGTACTCTAAAGCTACCACAAACCTGAAACAGTCCAAGCACAGAAATTTCTCATTTATACATAAAGTATTTATTGTGTGTGCTTGGCAACAGAAAATCAATGCAAGTTCTGTTTTCTATGAAAGAAAAACAAAAAGTAGAAATAGACAATTGTAAATCTCACATGATTGGTTGGATATTGCAGTTATTAACAGTATAGCATGTAGATGTTTTAGACTTGCTGTGAATCTTTAGTTATGTTTTGCTGTTCTGACAGATAACCTACCACGATGTGGGGCACTGGAGAGTTTGGTAAATGAAATGTCAGATGAAACATGGAATGAGCGGGCAGTGAATAGAGTCAGTGCAATTCGCTTTTTAGAAGATGAAAAAGATGAAGATGATAATGAGATGGTATGTTTTTCAAATCTTTGGATACCTGCAGACACTGTGACTTTAATGCAATGTTGTAAAAAGTACCTGAGCTCTCTTGCTGTGTAAATATTTCAGATGTGACTGCATGCTTTTGTGGATGTTTGTAGCAGATGTTGACTACCAAAACTTTTCATATTGACTTAAAGTGCTTTTTTTCTTTTTTCTTTTTTTTTTTTTTATTTTTTTTTCTCATTCTGCTTGGAATATAACTTTTATGTTCTGATGAAGGACAGTCTTTGTTTTGCTTTGTTTTCCTGTGTCTGCTCAGGATATTTTCTTTCCAGAAACGAGATAGGATCTTTCTTTGCATCTGTGAAAGTTTACTGCCTCAAAGTATATAGGATTTAATTTAGGATTCCAGCTCTCTGGCATGTGTCTCCATTAAGTTTTCCATTGTTTGTCTCTATAATTTCTATTTACAATCTCATACTTTCTCTTTATTTCTTCTTCTTTCTTTTTTTTTTTTTTTTTTTCCCCTCCTCCATTTGCATTGAAACAACCATAGTATCCATGAACGGCAAGAACACTGCTCATTAGTTTCCTGCTTAAAGGATGTGGGAACATCTGTCACTGTACTTATAAGACCTCTCTGTTATATTGGGCTCTGCATGTCCTGAAGATCAAAATGCAATATGATCTTTAGCTTTACTAACTTTCATTAACAATTAAAACTCTTTGTAAAGACTAAGACTGCCTCAGTCAGGTAGATTTTCAGTGAGCTTCTCTGATGCTCTAAAAACTTGCTTGTGGTCCTCGCTAGAGCTCAGCTTGAGATACTTCATGGCACTGTCTGGATTGTAGCACACTAGAAACATGGTCTTACATTAAAAAGTGACTATAAAAATTCTTAGCAGGGAAATGAACATTAAGTTTTCAAGTAGGATGGTTGCAGAAACTAAATGTCTGTGACAAGCATGGCTCATAGACTGACTGTTAAGGGAGTTCAGAATGATGCTTCTTAACAACTGTGCCAACCTTAGAATGTCCATATAATAACAAGGGCTCAGGTGTTAATGATAACTGCTTTAAGTCATGGTATTATAACCTGACATGAGGCAAGAACCTTTCTAGGAGAAAAATAAGTCTATGATCCTAATGGGGAGGAGAAGGGGCAGATTTCTGAAGTATTCTTGACCAATACACTCATGGGTCATCAGTTCTGCTGTAATATGCACAGTTCAGGTGTATACCACTGCAAAGTTAATTGCATGTATATATGTATTATGCTAATGCATACTTGTGCAATTATTCTTGGTATTCTATTGGTCTCTAATCTGGATGCTAACTGGGGTTTTCCTAAATTTTATTTCCCTTGTAAAGGCTTCAGCACAGTGATGTTAGATGTTCTTGTGTCTAGGATGGCAGGGAAATGCCCCCTCTTCTTCCTTTCAAGATATTTGTTCTCAGTTGACAAGAGAACCAAACTATGTGGTGGGGCTGGAAGGCATACATGTATTTGACACTATAGGGATCTTGTGGGATTCTTTCAAAACCAGCTGAATGGTTTTTGATTGAAATGTGATCTTAAATCACTTGGATGGGTTTTGGTGGAAAAAAAAATAGAAATCCCAACTATATTTATGAAAGAATCTTCACTTCATAACTTGTAATTGTAGTTCACTTGAGTAGCTTTCAGATTAGTAGGTCAAGAGAGGAAAAAAATTGCTCTAGATAGATAGTTCTTAAACCCTCTTTTGCTGTCTTCATAAACAAGCAGCTATAAAAATAATGTTCAGCAGAGAGCGTGGTAGTTCAAAAAAGAAAAAGGGGTAAAAAAATTAAAAAATCAATACCTAGTATTTGGTATGTGAATGCTAAAGCCTTGAAAGTGTATGTTGTTTTTCAAAGAGACAAAGGCAAAACCACTTATTGCGCTGTTTATTTTTAGAGAACACTTCTAAGGCGAGCCACTCCACACCCTGGAGAATTAAAGAACATGAAAAAGACAGTGGAGAATTTACGGAATGATATGAATGCTGCTAAAGGACTGGATTCAAACAAAAACGAGGTCAATAATGCCATTGACAGAGTGACCACTTCTGTGTAGCGTTTCATCTCCAGGTTTTACCTCCTGTGTCTTCCCCTGCTGTTGAAATGTTCCTGTCGTCTTCTGGGACTTCACTGAGCCCCTTTTTGTTTTTAACCAGAACCTGATTCATCGTCTCCATACATGTGAAAAGTGCTGCCCACTGGAAGAAAGTGCCTTATTTCATCCAGGCAGTGAACCAATAATTTCCAAATCAATATTGTAATTTTAATAGTGCTAGGCTTTTTAAAGTATAATACACTACTGTATGCAGAATACAATATTTTTGTCTTAAACACAGGGGAAATAATGCTTTTCTTTTCCAGAGTGCTGGGATATCTTTTTTTTTCCAGTGGCTGGATGTGCTGGTGAGAAATATAGTTTTGTGGAAAATTGATACACTTTTTTATTTTTTTGGCAGCTCAGATGGTGTAAATTTTAAATTTTTGTATAGGACTTTCATAACAAGATGATGTATTTCATTTTTAAGAGAAAATTTATCTTGAGCGGTACATATTTTAGTATTTGTGGAAGAGAACAAGTTTCATGGACAACTGTATTCATTCATGTGGACCACCCATTGTGCCTTATTGTGTCTTGTATGTCATATTAGTCTCAAATATACCAATTCTTGAGGAAAGTGAGTAGATATAAAATTGGTCTCCTGTTTTAGATACGTTTTTCAGACCATAATTTGTTGGGATTTTTACAGCAGAGAATTTATGTTTATATCATGGGATTTTAGGTTGTGAAGCACAGTTGTTATCTTTGTTGTAAACAGGATTGAGATTAAAATGACCAAACTGCTATTGTTTATTACATAATGCACTCACACTTTAACTTAGTTGTAATAAAACATCTTGGTTTGGATGCCGTGTTGCATTGCAGTCACTAGAAATTCATGCTTCCATTGTTTTTTTTAAATGTGCCATCTGTAAAATAACTTGAAAAACAGCACAATAGACTTTCAGAAGCACAGTATGAAACTAGTTTTATGTATTACACAGGAAAGCATGATTCTTTAAAGTGCTTTGTGGTTTTATATAAATACATAAAACCATAATAAAAAAAAAATCTTTGAAAGCTTCAGTAGATTTATTGTATCACTAAAATAGCAATTAAAGAATGTATGAATTAATACTGGAATTTACGGTCATTGTTACTGTATTGCACTTCCAGTGGTCCAATGCTGATTTCAAGTTCTTATTAAATCTGTGGTTTCCGGTTTGTTTATAAAGGTAAGTATTAACTGAGTTCAAGAGTTGAATTCAGTAAATAACAATTTGCAAAGGGCTGATAAAGATTGATTTTGGTGTCTCTGGGTTCTGTTTGTGCCATGAGCTAACAAAGACCACTAACTTGTTCAGACTTGAGCAGCCTGAGGTAGGAGCAAAGATTTGACATATTTGGTGTGAACTAATGCAGTGAACCCAAATTTGAACCTGACACTTCATCTATGGCGAAGTACGTCCCTTGTTCTGCTGAACTTTTCTTCCAGTAAGGATTGGTTATATGAGGGTTACTGGGAGATGACAGGAAATGAGATCAGGGAAGTCATAGTAACTTCTGTGTTTAAAATAATAACTGAAATATTTGGTAATTTTTGTAATTTAACTTTATAAATTTTGATTTGAAGCTTTTACAAAAGTCACTGCTTGCTTTATGATACCGAGCAAGTAGGTACTGCAAGCCATCTGTAAATACTCAAATCTAACCTGGCAAAATACCTTTATTTTTATCGTTCTTCCCATCCCAAAAATTCAAGGCATTGTCCCTTTGCAGGTGGTGCTGCAGGTTTATAGGTGTTAGGTTAGTTGAGAGGTAGTAGAGTTTCATTCCTCCCAAGGCAGAGTTCTCCCAGTTGTTCTTGGTAAGCTAGTGTTAAAATAAAAACAGAAAGAAAATGAGGTTTTGGTATAGCTGACCCCAACCTTGGGTAGAATTTTCTTTTTAAAGTACTTACTGGAACTGACAAAGCAAAAGTTTAAAAATGTAGGAAACTCTGTACCCAGAGTCCAAGTAAACATTGGCAAACCCATTTGAGATGAAAATGAGTTCCTAAAAAAGACAGACCAAAGCCAAAGGCAGCAAGACTCTGTGCTCTGTGATGCCAGGTTTTTATTTGGAGGCTGTGGTTTGTTTTGTTTTTAGCATCTGCTGCAGATATAAATGGGAGAGCTCCAGCAGCACGATGAAATGAATATGTAAAGCCTGGATGTGGGCCTTGCCTAACATGCCACCAGATGAAAACAATTAACTGCCCATGTGCACCTACTCTCTCCTGGTAAAGTCAAAACAAGAAGTAAATCTTGTTACAGCTCTGGGGTAGGTGTTTTCTCAAGTAGGCAGTTGTATATTCCTTCAGGCCTGTGGAGACTGCACTGCAGCCCAGAAAGCCCCAAGCCTAGCCAGAAGTCAGGCAATACTTGCTGCATCGGCTTTGACATGAAGTAACTGGTCAGCAGCCTTTTTTTTTTTTTTTCTTCCTTTTTTCTTTGTAAATAGTAGAAGGAATACTTGGTTTGGTTTCTCTGGCTGCTGAGAAATGGGTGAGCCAGGCTTATTGCCTTCATCTAGGACAGTTTCACGTTCCTTCCACCTAACATGGCTGGTATTGTCTGCTTGCGGTTATCTCAGCCAAAGACAGGTGGTATGAATTGCTTATTGAAGGTATTTGCCTCCATTCATTTGTAAAACAAAATAAATTGAGCTCAGACTGGAATCCAATAGTTGCTTGATGGGGGGGTTAGAGAAGCTGAAGTCCATCGTCAGAATATTCTTGCTGCTATCCCAACAGGAATGTTGGGGGTCCTTGCTTTTCACTGCCGTCTGTCTTCACTTAGTAAATCTGTGTAGTGAAAGTCTGGATTTTCATTATGGTTTTTTTTTTTTTGGTGAGTATCTGGGTGATCTGAAAGAGTAGGTGTATTTTTCAGTTTTCTACATGAGCACTGTATAGTGCTGTATCTTCTTTATCTCTTCTGTTTATGCCTTTTGAGTGAGGCAATCTGAGATTCTGCTCTGCTGCAGGTAGCTCAGCAGTATATACAGCAGGGTGTTTGAGTCTGGCAGTAAGTGCATTTTTCCAGGCTGGTGAAAACTTTAGGTATGACAACAGCTGCTGGCAGTGTGGAATAATAGCACGTGAACTGCCATTTGTTTTCAGGGTTGAAAGTTCCAAGTGGCTTCTCTTTCTGTCCCCCAAATCCTAAACGTTTGTTTCACAGCAGCTTTATCATGAAGGAGTGACTTGTATGTCATTCCACACAGTAGCCTGGACCCCAGCAATCCCTCTGATCTCTCAAATGCCATTTTATAAAGTGGTTTGGGTACACTTGTCCTCGAAACAGTGTTGATAGAATTCCAGCCAGCTTCAACTGTATTCTGTAGCCAGAAAAATCTGATGATGTTTGTTATGCTAAAGCAGTGTTTGTCCTTGAAAGCATGAGCCCTCCCTTGCCTGGCTCTGCCTTATTTCTCTTGATAATGCTTTGAAGGAGCCTGTGTAGTAAATATAATTTGTATGCTTAACTTTTTTCTTCTCTCTCTTTAAGTGTCTATTTTTTCAATTGCTCTCTAAGTCTTTTGGGAGGTGAGTTTAATGCAAGGGAAGAAACACTACAAAATTTGCACACTGCTTTATTAAACAGGTAACCAGGGAAAACCAATTAAATGCACTCCACCATAGTCATGGAGTGGATTTAATATTAACCTGTCAGTTACTGCATGTGAGTTCTCTTTATTGAAAGTCATGATTCCATAGTCTTACAAGAGCAGAAAGAGCTCCCAACCAAACAACATTTTCTTGCTACCATTGTTAGTGTAGTTAGTGTAGCCACAAATTTTTCCATTCCCTGTGTTGCTCCAGGCTTTTCCCGCAGCTTCCGTGTAATTCATGTGTCGAGATTATTTTTCTGGCTTACATTCCATATTTTTGATAATCAGTGTATTGTGGGAAAGTGCATACTGGAAACTTGCATAACACTGTCCTTTCTAGCAAATGACTTGTTTGTGTCCAGGACAAGCTGATCAGCATGCTTCTTGTCAAATACTGGTGCTTTAGTAGTGCTGGGTGAACTGTTGTTGGCTGCTTAGCTACTTAGCAGGTTTCACTACTTGCTGCTTTTGAATGAATGAATTCAGCTTTTGAGTGGAGAGTAATGATACCAGGAATTTAATTTTTTTTAAAGCATATTCTTTAGTATATCAGTTTATCCTGTTCTAGTTCACTGTAGGCGTCTACCTCCCACTGAGACTGAAGCACAGCAGTTGTCAGAAATGTCTAGACCTTTTGTTAAGGAGAATTCACTGCTGTTCTTTACCTTTACTCTGGAAGATAAAATTACTTTAGGTTTTCAACTGACTTGATAAGAGTGCTTCCCCTCTTCAGTTTTCATCAAACACACAAATCTGTTACCGTGCTTAGGTTGCTGTCAGAGAAGATGACAAAAGCTGACTGGTCTTGGCTGTCAATAAATGTTTTGGGTGTTCCCTTCCTCCTGAACCAGTTGTATTTTTTTTTCCAGAGGGACAGTGCCTTCCTCTTTCATTCTGAAGTCAGGAATATAAACAGTATTCAACCATCTTAATGAAAAATCTGAGATTTCTCAAAGTGGAAAAGCAGGTACCTGGTTTAAGGAGAGCTCTGTGGGATGCTTGGCAGGAGCTATCTTGCCTCCTCTTCTGGCGGATGTTGGAGACTCTATGTGTTTTATTGCCTCTTCTATGGTTCTTGTGGCAATAGGGTGGCCAGTTGTGGGTTCTGCCACAGCAGAGGGATTTGAGAAGTTCAGTGCACGTGGCTGGACCGTGCCTTGTACTAACTTCAGGAGCAAGGGTTAGTGGCAGTCTAGTTCTGAATCTGTAACTTCTTCAGGGTGGGCCTCTTAACACTGGTGGTGTTAGTCTGTGACATATTAAGAAGTAGCTTATCTTTATAGAGAAGTCCTCTCTCAAAAAGTACAGCATCAGTATTGTCTGTGGGAAAACTGTGGCTCTGCAGTGATGTTTCAAATCTCCCTTGCTGTTAATACT